ACCTTAATGATTCTGTGATTCTAAGTATTGCAAAAAAAGGTGATCTTTCTCCTTTGTCCCTGAAGTTGTCTTTACAAAATGAAAATGATAGTTTTGGGGTAGTTGGGGGTTGCAAATGATTGTATCCTGAAGTGCTATAATCGCCACAGTTGCTTATTACAAAAAAAAGCAAATTTTGAGAAGCAATCACTTATTTTATTTGGATATTATTTTCACTTGTTGCAACCTGTGTAAATATTTTGGCAAAGGCCTAAATTGATCACAGACACACAGATCACAATAACTTCAGTAATTACACAGTGAATTAATTAGTTAAATACTTTAATTGAAACGCAAAATGAAACAAACTGACTTCTTTACTTGGAGAAGTGGATAAATTATAAAATTGACAGCCAGGAAATCAAGATATTGATGGGGATGGCTTAAAAAATATTTCTCCCTTGTTTTGCGGTTGGCTAATACTACAGATAAATTAGTTCGCCAGAGAAGATAATAGGTACCATCTCTTCCTTGATCTCTGGTTCCTATTCTCCTGGGGCAGATAGCTTAGTTTCCCCTAGGGAAAGTAGGCCACGTCCAAAAAGACTCAGCAATGTGTCCAGGTGACGCCTCACTGCACCGTTTAGGGGTTGCCGTGTTGGGAGCTGCTGCCCCCATTTTTTTTTTTTATAGATGGAGAACTGATTGAACTCACAAGCACAAGCAAATACTAAAAATACAACAGACTGAGCGAGCTGGTTATGATGTAGTGGCACCTCCGAGTACGAAGCGCTCGGAAGTACTGATGCCTTCCTCTATGGACAGCTTTGAGCTCTGGTTGAGGCGACTAAATCGCTGACTCGCTCAGTATCACCGTCAGCTACAGGACTGTCATCCGACTTAGGAAGAGTAGGAGATGGGTCATTTACTCAGAAGGGATCATCTCTAGGCTGAGCTACCTTAAGTGAGGACAAGCCCCTTCTCTGCAGAGCTCTGTGTTTTTTATAGGGTGACTCTTTTGCAGGAGCAGTACAAAAAGACCAGGGAATAGCACTGGGTCAGAAAATAACAGAGTCTGGGAGACCCAGGATGGGTTCAAAGGAAGGATTCACTGTGGTATCGGAGGCACAGGCTTTTACAGCAATTGGGGGCATCTTTGACAGGCGAACCAGCTGCAGTCAAACAATGCAGTCTGGAAACGAAAATGGATGTAGCAGAGGGGTGATCTGGAACACAGGGGTTGCTTGAAAGCTGGGGCTTTTGAGGTTTTTTTTTGTCATAGTTTATTAAAACTTAGAAATGGCACTTTTTATGTTTATTTAAAGATAATCAAGATGATTGTTGCTTCCCAAACACAAAAGGTGTCTGGTGCTCTTATGTAGTAAGCTACAAAATAACTCTTAAAACTGTTACAGCAACTCCGAGCCAATATGAGAGAGATGGAGAAACTCTGTTTGCGAGTCCGACAGGAAGACATCCCAGTTCTGCAGAGAATGATAAATCCAGTTAAAGAGGAAGCTTCATTTGCCATAAAAGACTTCCTGCAGCTCCATTCTGAATCTGCAGAAGAGCTTAAAAAGCAACTTGAAGGACAGGAGGATGCCTCTTTAACCAGATCTGCAACTGTAGGAGGAGGTAGTAGAATTTAATTTCTGTATCTCTCATATCTATATTGTTGTATCCAGTCCGCATTTCTGACCAGAGTAACAAGTAAACAAATGAGATTTCAGTTGAAGAATAATTGTTAATCA